CCACATGGTGTATAGTATGCACACACACACACACATAAATAAATATATATATATGCATATAGACACTGAGACACATTCATACAGGTGAACATTATAATACACATGTCTTCTTCTTCATTTGTTTCGGATTAAATTTTTAAAAAAAAATTCCATTCATCGAGTAGATAGATAGGATAACATTGACATATTTTCATATAAACACTGAAATATTTTATTCAATGTTAAATAAAAAGAGAATTCGTCAGTTTTAGTAATGAAGAGTCACATAGTGTTAGTAATAATAATAATAATATTATTATTGATAGTGAGAATAGCAATAACGATGTGTGTTAGGTGACGTAGCAACACTAAATAAGTGTACATATCATCTTTATTCCATTATTTCACTAACGGTTGCTATGACTTTATATAATGAAGGGATTTCATTGTGTTTGGGTGAAGAATAATTTTTTATTAACACAATGAATCCTTTTTTTGTTTCATTAAAGGAGAGGGAGGGAGATAGAAAAAAGATGTTTATTTATATATTTGCTTCGACCATTTTCTCTCATCCTGTCAATGTGTATGTATGTTTGTGTGTGTGTGTGTGTGTACGATAGGCAATGACACACATAATGAATTGAATAATTTTGTCTGTAAGGAAAATAAACTACTATATTTAGAAAGATGTTTTAAGTATAAATTCGATGAAATTTTGTGAAGAGATTTCACAATGAATCTTGTGAATGGTCAGTATGAGATTGTGAAGATTGTTGAGAATCATTGAAATCAAGATGTGATCAATGTTAGACAACCATTGGAGGCCTGGAATCACTGCATGACCGTCATATAGGACGGTCATCTGATAGTATAGTATAGGACTCATCTGAAGTGCACAGCCACTACTCCTGCTACTCGCAGGATTCGAACCCAGGATCTAAGAATTGAATATATCAATATATGTCACAATTTATATGTACTTGTATGCAGGTTTGTCAAAAAGTTCCTGATCGACAGGCACGAAATATCTACAAAACTGTACTACTTTTGAGTTACAATTTTCTATCACGAAAGTTATCCACAGCAATGTCACATTAAATGTTTACTTAAGTAATCCTGCTACCCCAAGTACAGCATAGGCCACTCCTCAGCGTTCTTCAACCCAATCCATCATCGGCCTTCCTTTCCAGTTCTTCCCAATTGCTGTTCATATTTTTCGTCTCTGTTTTCAATTCTCGGCGTAATGTGTTTTTTTTTGGTTATCCTCTTCCCCTTTGAACTTGAGGATCCTAATTGAGGGTTTGTCTTGTGATACGGTAGGATAATTTTCATAATGTTTCTCCTATCCATATTTCTATATGGATTTGAGGATGATGATGATGATGATACCTTGACAGATAACAATATTCTAGGTTTCTCATGGTGGTCTAACATTGATCGATTCATGGATTCAAAAATGTGTAAACTTAACAATCATCACAACCACGTATTGCAAATTAACTGTGCTCATTAGTGACTAGCTTCGTGAGGAATCTTCTCCGAGTTCTAGTGGGAAGACGTGACCAGTATGAGTTCAACCTGTTCGAGTGTAGACAGTAACTACTACCGAAGACTGTGTATGAGGTTGCGAAACTCCGTAAAATGATCAAGTTAGACATGAACACCGTTAGATACCGGCTCAGTGGTCCGATGGTTAGGCATTTGCCTACAATACCGAAGGTCCTGGTTTCGAATCCTGCGAGGTGCAGGAGTCGCGGATGCGCACTGCTGCTGATGAGTCCCATACCAGGACGAAACGACCATCCAGTGATTCCAGGTTTCTAATGGTGCTCTAACATTGATCGATTCATGGTTTCAATAATTAAATGTGGTGATAATTATGAAATCAAAGAAACTGTTCTTGTGACATCATTCACAGACTGAAATTCAATATCACATCCAAATGAAATTCAATGCATATTTGATGTCGAAAACACATGGTTTATAAAATGTGTATAATTAGCCTGTATCTATTTATCCATTTGAAGTCTGTTGTGTGTTTTCCAAGCCATATTGGTTATAGACTGTCCTCATCCACAACTTTCACACCTGGGAATAAAAATCCAGGACATTCGGTTACATAATTTTTTCGTCTGGCTCCCGTTAGCTGCTTCTAACTTGTAATGTAGTGAATGAGAACATAGGTGGGGCAACCGGATTGTATTTAACGAAAATTACAGAGTTAATTGGTAAAATAGGAAAACCATATCGTAAATCGTTAATTTGCAAAATATCAGTTCATCATATCGAACTGAACTGTTCCTGTTGCAAACAACATCTAATCCATTGTCACTATTCATGTGTTTCATACAAATTCCATTGTGTTCTAACTCTTCCTTTCTTGATCTTCCCACCATCTTCTGTTGCCAGACATTACGTTGACACTCACGTCATATACTACTTATAAGTAGCTCGCACCAAAGTAATACTTACTCAAAATAAAATGGGTTTCAAATTATTACTCACCCCCCAAAAAAAGTCAAGTTTATAACTGTTCTGATCACATATCAGCATGTTAAATAAAATATGTTTTATATGAAAGAACATCCTACAACAATGTTAGTAACAAAAGCTTAAAGGACTAGAAATATGCATATGCATTACGTAATCGTCAAACGCTGATATTCAGTTATCATAATCAAAAAAACTGAGTAAAGCTTAGTTTGTAAAAACTAAGATTACTAATCTAGAAGACAGTTGAAATTTTTTTAAAAAAATAATGATGTAATGATGTAATTTTATTCGGAATCAAAATTTTGAACACATTTTTTTATGACGTAATGAAGATGAGTTTGTCATTGGGGCAGAGAAATATTAAACCGGGTTTTTTCTTTAATTTTGAAAAACAAGCACAAACTAGTTTTCTGATGGCTAATAGAAATAGTGTAGTGAAGGAGAACACAGGTGAGAGCAACCGAATTATATTTATCGCTAATTACAGAGTTACTCAGTAAAAAAGGGAAAACCATATCGTCAACCGTTAATTTGCAAAACATCAATCCATCGTCTTACATTTCACTATTTATGCTGTTTCATACAAATCCCATTGTGTTCCCACTCTTCCTTTCTTGATCTTCCTCCATCTTCTACTGCCAGACATTACGTTTACACTCGTGTCATATACTACTTATAAGTAGCGCGCACCACAATAGTATCAAAAAGAAACCTTTAGAAGATTAGAGCTTAGATGTTTTTATGAATCACTGTCAAAGATTTCAAAGTGTCTATTAAATCTTCAATGTTTAATTGGTGATTAGGTAATTGTGTGGTAGTATTCAAAGCAGTTCTTTCTTATTATTCTTATGCATTTCGGAACATAATTAAATAACTTAAGATTATACTGTCCTTTCTGTTCCTTTAATATAACTTCTTTGGTAGGTACATTTAGATTTATTGACCGAATTGCCGGTAACATGAGATGAGTACTTGTCTTACTTTTGATTAAATTACTGATTTATTAGTTTGATATCCGCTTATTTCAGGAGTGTCTCAGTAATTTTCATTTTCATATACTCAACTGGTTATCCGGTGGAATACTGAGTGTTCAACTATTAGTTATTTGCATTACGGGGTTGTGAAGATTGTTAAGTTAGTTACACATTTTTGAAACCATGAATCGATCAATGTTAGACCACCATTATAGAAACCTGGAAGCACTGAAAGACGGCCGTTTCGTCCTGGTATGGAACTCTTCAGCAGTGCGCATCCACGACTCGTGAACCCCGCAGGGTTCGAACTCAGGACCTTCCATATTGTACGCGAACGTCCTAACCGTTAGACCACTGAGCCGGTATCTAACGGTTGGGGCGTTTGCAGGAGTCGTGGATGCGCACTGCTGAGGAGTCCCATACTGGGACGAAACGGCCGTCTTTCAGTGCTTCCAGGTTCCTAATGGTGGTCTAACATTGATCGATTCATGGTTTCAAAAATGTATTATTTATTTATCCTACGACTATACATAATTATTTTAACTAGGAGGAGTAGTTGGACCCGACAAATATATGTGTGCATTGGTTCAAGTTGCCACATTAAATTAATACATAGTAATCAAAATATCAAGACAAATGTCCTAGTAGGAGAAGTAAGAGTAGTATAGGTAGATCGTAAGTAATAGAACACATTCGACATCAACATTATATCATTTAAAAAAAAATAAAGATTAAGTTTGGTGAATAAAAATAATTTTAAAACTGAAGTTTTAAGAGAAATCAATGAGTCAATGCTTTTGTATCACTGTTACCAGTTAAGAGTCATATTCACTTAGTATATCCAGTCAAATATCATGATAATTTCACGGAACACATCTAAGATAGTTTGTATCTATCTACATGTCTCAGATGAACATCGATTGACTTCATAAACTGGTTCCGTGTCTTGACTTGAGTTCCAACTTTTACTGCTAAATCATCCAACATCGTGTGTCGAGATTGGCGATGGTGAGATAACTATGATATCATATATTATAACCACTATATTAAACGATTAATTGACAGGTTGCATATTAATCTAAACACATGGGTGTTTGGCTGAATAATCTATTTGCCTACACATCATTTTGAACACACTTAACTTTTTGAAATCATGTTTCGATCAATGGTAGACCATTATTAGGATCCTGAAAGCACTGGACAGCCGTTTCGTCTTGGTATGGGACTCATCAGCAGTGCGCATCCACGACTCATGCTCTTTACAGGGTTCGAACCCGGTACCTTTGGTCATGCGCGCGAACGCTTAACCTCCGCACCACTCAGCCGGTAACTAACGGTCAATTTACGGTCTTGCTCAACCCCATTCACCCAATTAGGGTTAAACTTCACTGGTCACGACTTCCCACTAGAAACCCGGAGATGATTCCTCACAGAGCTAGTCCCTAATGAGCACAGGTAATTGCATTACAGAGTTGTAAAATATTGTTAAGTTACACATAATGTTTTTTTTATTATTATTTCCTCTATTAATATCCGATTTGTTTTACTTTACAGTCCCTACTATTTCTTCCTTACCAAATTCTCCTATGTTGAACACTGCAACGACAACAACGAATAATCTCAATGAATTGAGTACTACTACTACTCATACTACTACTACTACTATTAATAGTAGTAGACCAATACTACAATCAACAACTATGCCTGATGTTGTGCCTCGATTAAGTTTACACATAAATCATCGCCATAGTATTAATAATAATAATAATACCGATACAATTGGATCAAATCATATGACATTATTACATCATCGTTCACATTTATTACAACCAAGATGTTCATCTGTTCCATTAGTACAATCATCAACATCAACATCATCATCATCATCATCACAATCACCATCATCATCATCATTATCATCTTCATTAACACCGTCAACATTAGCTTTCAATGTTCAATGTCAATGTTATCATTGTACACATCAGCATTATTTTGATCATTGTCAATTATCATCAAATTATCAATCTCAATCAAATTATTTATTAGCAAGACGTTTAGCATATGTGGCTGATGAATTAATGTTAGATTATTATTATCATAATTATTCAAGAAGAAATTATCGATCAATGTATAATTTGGTAAGTTATGAATATTATTGTTAGTTAAAGATATTTTTTCTTTTTATTTGAAGCGGTTTTATCAAGCTATCAAGCTAGCTTGCCCTGACCGAAGCTGCTACCTTGACGTGGTGGTGGTCGGTCTTGCCTATCGTGATGACCCGACCGAGCTATATGGTCCGGGACCTATGTTCCTGTAAGGTTCTACCATGCCAGGCAGGTCGATTGGAGAGCGATGAGACTAAAAGCAGCTACTCAAGGTCTGAGGGCGAAGTCGTACTGCTGACTGCAGAGGGGTGTGACAGCAGTAAGGTGTTTCCCTCGGACAACCAGCATCTGCAACGATGCTGCCTTCTCACAAGAAAGGAAGGAAAGTATTAGAGAAGGTCAACCCTAAAAATGTCACACCTCACCCTACCTCACGGATTTCCGTCTCCGGCGGTAAGGGTGCCCACTAAGGGCTTTCAAGTGCGGAGCTAACACTCAAAAAACTTCTCATAAAAAGGCCGTGCGTGACCGGCCTCAAGCAGTTGTCCCTTGGGCTCTGCGGTCACGCTCCCAGGTCTCTAAGACCAACACTAATCTATTTTCCTTTTCAGGTCTCAAGAAATAACCTTCCACGGTGTGGGCAGCCGGGAAGTGACAATCACCCTCATACCCGTAACAGCAAATGTAGCTGGCATTGATCTCATTATCCCACCTGAATGTGAACATGATAAAGAACGAAGTCAGCTTAAGCGCAAGCTGATAAAAAGCCTACGCAACGAACGTGAACAATGATGGGTGACGAAAGCAATGGAAAGCGATGGAAAAAGCAGCGGCGATCGGCAACAGTAGACAACTTTTCCGACTTATCAAGGAAACTGGTATTAGGAATCCTAGTTAGTGTGAGACAATCTCGGAAAATGATGGGACTATTATTTATTCTCTATCCAGGAGACTGGATCGATGGGCAGAACACTTTAGGGATCAGTTCAACTGGCCTTCAGCCACACTTCGGTTACCCACCATCTCCAGTCATCCTGAATGGCAAGTCGATTCAAGCCCTCCGAACCTTTCTGAAGTTGAGAAAGCGTTAGGAAATCTGAAGCGAGGGCGAGCTGTAGTTCCTGATAGACTGAGTCCTGGGATATTTAAGGATGGTGGTCCAGTTTTAGCAGCTAGATTGACTGAGATCTGAGGTAGAATCTGGGAACTGGACATTATGCCATCTGACTGGTCTCAATCAGTGATTGTCCCACTCTATAAGAAAGGACAAAAGTCTTCTTGTGACAATCACAGGGGAATCAGTCTAACTAATATAGTTTCTAAATTGTTAGCCTCGATTATACTTACACGCCTACTAGTGCTCGTGAAGAGCAAATTCGAGAAAACCAGGCTGGTTTTCGACCTGGACGTGGTTGTATAGACCACATTTTCACACTAAGACAGGTCCAGGAACACAGACACACATTTAGGCGTCCTACAATAGTTGTGTTCCCGGACCTAAGACCGGATTTTGACTCTGTATATCGTGAGGTTCTGTGGCAGTTTCTGTCATTGAAAGGTGTACCAAAGAATTACTTTAACCTTATACAAGCTCTCTACTCGAACACCACTGGTCGAATAAGAGCTTATGGCGAACTGTCATTGGAATTCTTCACTTCAAATGGTGTCCGTCAGGGATATCCACTCTCTCCATTCTTGTTTAATTTTGTTATAGAACTGCTTTTGGAGATAACATTATCTTCGTCAGACTTTTCAGGAGTAGACCTCCAAGCAGGAGGATCGCTTGTTGACTTAGAATATGCTGATGATATAGACCTACTTGGTGAAGACACTGACAAAATGCAGAGTCTTCTGATCACCATAAGCAACAATGCAAGCATGTTCGAGATGCGGTTCTCACCCTCGAATTGAAAAATGTTGCTTCAAGATTGGGTTGCGTCGGCACCTGAACTAGTGATAGGGAGTGAAGTAATCGAGCGTGTAGACCGCTTCACTTATCTTGGGAGTCTGATCAGTGCTGATGGCCTGGTGGCTGACGAAATCTCAGCTCGGATACAGAAGGCTCGATTGGCTTTTGCCAACCTGCGTTACCTATGGCGCAGGCGAGATATCCGTTTGCTGACTTAACGACGAGTGTACTGTGGAGCAGTTGGCTCCGTCCTACTGTACGGATGCGAGACTTGGCCGTTAAGAGTAGAGGACTTCCGTAGGTTACTAGTCTTCGATCATCGATGTCTTGGGAGCATTGCTCGTGTATCCTGGGACAACCGTATAAGCAATGCTGTCGTTAGGAAACGAGTTCTAGTTAGTGACGGCAAATCAATAGATGAAGTAGTGAAACTTCATCAGTTGAGGTGGTTGGGACATGTGTTACGTATGCCTAACCACCGACTATCTCGACAAGCTATGTTTTGCAATGTAGGAGTAGTCTGTAAGAAAGTTAGGGGCGGCCAAACTAAAATATGGCAGAAATGCATGAAGTCACTGACAAGTGGATTGAATCATGTTGGTAGATGTAGACTACCTGGTTGGGATCCGCGAGATGATTGTAATCGATAGTTATAGACCCTGAATGACATGACTCAAAACCGTTTGCAATGGCGCAGGTGCATTCATCCTTTCTGTTCTGTGAAATCTCAACCTTCAGAGTTCGTCATCATCTTTCTCTTTCTCTTTTTAAATTCATTTCACTGGATTATACGTCTCGAATCATATATCTTCGATTCCTAATCTTCCCCCCTATAACTGCCAATACATCTATCTATCTCTACTGCTATGGAACTGAAATTGACAATTTCATCTGTCTGTACTAATATGGTTTGGGCAACTTTGAACTGATGTATCAATGTACAATGTGCCTACGTTGTACCTAACTGACTGTCTGACTGACTGACTAACTGATCAACCTGTTTACCGGTGTTGTTCAAGTTGTTGTTCATATAAAACCTAGTAAACATTAGAGTGACTTCATTCCACTTTTTTTTTTCTAAATTTTACAAGACTACTTTGTATATAAAATGATGCTTTCACAGACAGAGTTTTTTTTTTTTTCCTAATCAATATTACCTCAAACGTGCATGTGTAGATTACTCATACTTATCTATCTATCCACCTACTTTCTAGCTCATCTTGACTAGTTTTTTTTTGTTTAAGTACAACAGAATCAATTGCTTTTGTACATTTAAATACCAAATCAATAAGTTTCTTTGACCATGACTCACTTTAACCTACACCGACACACACACACACACAAGCATACACTAGCCATCATTGTGATCAACTTAATTCAACCAGTCTTAGAGACACGGATAACCAGTCATCTAGGTGAACAGAGAGAGAGAGAGACAGTACAACATATAGATAGACAGATAAATACATAGATAGATAGATAGTTAGATAGACGCCGGTAGAATTTTTGTTTAAATCTACGCATAAAGTAAGTATCATGTGATATAAATTATTATAACCTTGAAAATTAAGCATAAGTTTTGTCTTTCATGATGAAATTATTTTCTGTTAGAAATAAGTTTGAAATCTTTTATACACACAATACTTTACAAAAGTGTACTACACTGTTGTATGATGTTTTTAACTAAAACAGAAAAAAAAACAAAACAATTTCTTATGAATTATTTCAATTTGTACGTTTGTCATATTGTGGTGCGAGCTACTTATAAGTAGTATAGTATGACGTGAGTGTCGACGTAATGTCTGGCAGCAGAAGATGAGGGAAGATCAAGAAAGGAAGAAGAGTGGGAACACAATGGAATTTGTATGAAACGCATAAATAGTGACAATGGATTGATGTTGTTTGCAACAGGAACAGTCCAGTTCGATATGATGAACTGATATTTTGCAAATTGCCGATTTACGATATGGTTTTCCTATTTTACTGAGTAACTCTGTAATTTTCGTTAAGTAGAATTCGGTTGCCCCACCTGTGTTCTCGTTCATTACAATATTAAAGTTTAAAATAAGCTGAAGTTATCTACGATGTTTTCAATGTTCAATGAGTTTATTTTGCTTAATACAACTTTGATCATTCGCCTGTTTATTATTTATTGGATGAGTAATACATATGATAGTGTCAGTCAGACAGTCATTCAGATGCAACGTAGAACTTTGTACGTAAGTACATCAGTTCATGTTGCCATACCACATCAGCACAGAGATATCATTGTCAATTCAAATCCAGTAGTAGAAGAGGTAGTAAAGGTATTAGAAGTAATCGGAGAGGTTAGGATTAGAAGATATTATTCAAGAAGTATGATTCAGTGAGAAAAGTTTAGAAAGTCAAAACTAGAGGTGTTGAAGAATCCAGAAGATTAAGATTTGAGAGAACACAAAGAATAAATGCACTGGCGCCATTGTGAACGGTTTTGAGTCATGTCATTCAGGTTATCTAACCATCGATTATTATCATCTCGCGGACCCCAACCAGGTAGTCGACAACTACCGACATGGCTAAGTCCACTTGTCAATGACTTCATGGATTTCTGCCATGTTTTGGTTTGGCCGCCCCTAACTTTCTTCCAACCTATTCCTACACTACAAAACAAAGCCCGTCGAGGCAGTCGGTGGTTAGCCATACGCAGCACATGTTCCAACCTGCTCAACTGATAAAGTTTCACCACTTCATCTATTGATCTGCCATTCTTACCTAGCACCCGATTCCTAATAATAGCGTTGCTCACTCGGGTGTCCTACGATATACGAGCAATGCTTCGAAGACACCTATTATCGAAAACCAATAACCGACGAATATCTTCTACTCTCACTGGCCGTGTTTCCCAGCCATAAAGTAAGACGGAGCGAACCGCTGCACAGTACACTCGTCCTTTAGTCAGCAAACGGATATCTCGTCTACGCCATAAGTGACGCAAATCGGCAAAAGCTAATCGAGCCTTCTGTATCCGTGATGAGATTTCGTCAATCACCAGGCCCTCGGCACTGATGAAACTCCCAAGATAAGTGAAGCGATCAACAAGCCCGACTACTTCACCCCCTATCACTAGTTTAGGTTCCGATGAAATCCAATCTTGAAGCAACATTTTGCATTTCGAGGGGGAAAACCGCATCCCAAACATGTTTAGATCGTTGCTTAGGGTAGTCAGGAGACTCTACATTTTGTCAGCGTCTTCACCGTATAGAGATATGTCATCGGCATATTCTAAGTCAATAAGCGAGCCTCCTGGTAATAGGTCTACTCCTGAAAATTCAGACGAGGATAATGTTATATCTAGGAGCATGTCTATGATAAAATTCAACAAGAATGGAGGAAGTGGACATCCCTGACGGACACCACTTGAAGTAAAGAATTCCGGTGACAATTCGCCATAAGCTGTTTGAGATTTTACTTTAAGTTCTAACTTTCACTATATTTGTATTTCCCTTCCGACATGTTTTGCTCTACGCTACACTAATGTGTTGATAGCAAACAGTTTCAGACTCTTTGATTGAATTATTTAAGTGAGGATTTTATTTTAATTTACTCTACGACGCAGTTATTGGACAGGAATTATTGGACGTGACGAATAACCTCAGTCATCAAAGTAAACTTTTCCTTAAAAGGTTATTTTTTTAAAAAAAATAGAGAATATTACCTGTAACACTAACTGGACGAGGAATTTTACTAATGAACTGAAGTTAATTGAAAAAAGTAGCTCATAATCAATGAGGACATACACTAAATCGAACATACTGTGTTTCGCGCTACTTATAAGTAGTATATGACGCAAGCGTAAACGTAATGTCTTGCAGCAGAAGATGGGGGAAGATCAAGAAAGGAAGAAGAGTGGGAACACAATGGAATTTGTATGAAACTCATGAATAGTGAAATGTCAGACAATGGATTGATGATGGACTGAAGATTCGCAAATTAACGGTTTACAATATGGTTTTCCTATTTTACCAATTAACTCTGTAATTTGCGTTAAATACAATTCGGTTGCCCTCACCTGTGTTCTCCTTCACTACAATACGACCTCTGCTCAGTGGTCTAAGAACTAAGCATTCAATGGGAGACAAGAATTCTGAATCTAATCCTTTCTGTTGATAATGAATGCCCATTTTTTAAGGATTATCTTATTAGGATGAAAGCGCTATTCACTGCTTCGTAGTTAGTTTTCAATTGTTTTCCAACATAGATCAGTTCATAGTGTAAACTATTCGATTTCGATTCACTAGCTCAGCAATCTTCATAACCTTCCATATATATTGACCATAAACCATCGGTTTTATAAGCAATCCCCAAATCGCCCTGGTATAGCCAACAATCGGTAGAGTCCGCTCTTCCTCAAAAAATACTCTTACACAGCCATGTATGCATAGGCACTGACAGGTATGTCTCATTCACTCACTGCTTTCCCGTGGCCAGGATGTTGTTTCCACAAATGAGAGAACAAAAAGCAAATAATCGACTCTTAAACCAAGTTGGTGGGTTACATTGGATCCTTCCAGCGGGATTACAGAACGCTAATTCCAAACCAATCATTCACATGAGTTTCAGGTTATCGATGGGATAGATGGTGTATGAACTTATTGTTAGTGACCAGCTACCATGAAGCTGTACCTCTGCAATTAACTGACTGTCTTGTGGATTAGACATGTAGGTGGAAGTCTTATGGAATATCTCCCCATGTAAAACGTGTATAGCATGTGAGTACACTCAGGAATTCAATGTTTTATATGTGTCGCATAAGCACACAAGTTCCTCTTTATACCAATAATTATGTACATCAGTTCAGGTTGTCATACCAAATTAGCACAGAGTCGTCCTCATCCCTATAAAAACACGCGAAACCAAATCAGTCTGAATCAAATCGTTGCTATACCTTCTAATAACTTTCTTTTATTTCCACGACCAACCCTTTTTTTGGATCGTTTGTCACCTCACGCCGCTGAAGTAAACAAAATGGTTTTCAACTTGCTAAAAATATGAATATCTTTATAATATTTTTATGCATATGATTTATAAATAAGTAATCGTTCTGTATTTTTTTTCTCTCTCTCCCCCTCACACTTTATCAATCAAAGACAACTGGGATATTATTCAATTATGGGATTCGAACAATGAATTATAGTATAGAAGCATTTTGGAGATTTTCATTTTATCTATCTACATGGTTTATAATACCAATTGATTTTGCATTACAATCTATACGATCAATAATTGATCAATCATTTTCACGACTATTACAAAACAATACAAATTCATCTCTGAACTACTCCAGAGAAAGTGAATTAAGGCTCAACAGTATCAGCAGCAGTAATAGTAGTGGTAGTGGCAGTGGGAATACGGATGTTGGCCCTGTATTCTCTCCACATACTGGTCATACGTTATATGAATCGAATCATTCAGATGATAGAAATCCCCTCCTTCCTCTTTCTTCGTCTTCTACTTTTGGTGATATCAATCAAAATACAAGATGGCGTCATTTGAATTGCCCTATTCAATTGTCAACATTATCATTGTCTTACACCTTTCCTTACCATCATAATTACTTTTCACATCTTCATCGTCAACAATCTGGAACATCTCATATACTACATTATACTGGTGAAAGACGTCCGAGTTCCTCAGAAGCACGAACAATTGATGCTGGTCATTCCACTAACCATATGCCAACAGAAAGTAGCAGTACATTAGATTCGGATAGTAATTAATCTCTAACTCATTTATGATACTCTTTCACAATTTTATTTTAAACGTAAACTTATGTCCCTAACAAATGATCTTTTTGGAGAAAAAACAACGTAATTATCAATTAAAAATAGATTGTGACAATATTATACTGTTTATTCTGTTTTCAACTATCCTCTTGTTGTCATATTGATACTAGTTCAACACTTGAAAGGATGCAGAAATATCAATCGTCATACTACATAATTCTTGAAGAGTGATTCAGTTTGAACAACTTTTTTTTCGAAAATATAAACTATTTTTATTGATTACTAGTACTTAAACAATCGATCAGTTCTCATAGGACAGTACAATCGGATCTTTTCATTCTTTTCTTCTGATTGGTAGTTTATCATCTCATCATCATATTTTTTCGTGACCTTGACTCTGTACATTGATACTCTTATCTGATTGGTTAATTTTTTAATTTGAATGTGTTATGGTGGCATGATGAATCATGTTGGGTATAATCATTTTTGTCAACCAATCAGAATACAGAAGTAGTATGTTTTCAATATTACTCAATAGACGTCTGTTGTTGGACAATTTCTATTTGATTGATTAATTCTTTTTTCTTTTTTCACAAGGAACATACTTTCGATGAAATTGTCTATCGAATTTTTAATTTCTTCTTCTTCTAATTCCTTCAAATAAAAAGAAATATTTGCCTTAATTGAATGTTAATGTTAGTTACTGTAAAAGAGAGAGAGATTCTATATATCATGGTCGACTTTTTGTTCAACCGGTTTCTATACTTCTCTAATTCTGCCTTTCTTATGTACCGATTATTTTGAATGGAAATAATTACATTGAGCAGACGCAGTACCAGTAGTTGTAGTAGTAGTATTAGTAGTAGTAGTACACTTTATACCTATCATATTTGTTTATACTATTGTGTTATCATTATTATTATTATTATTACTATTATTATCGTTGTTATATATATATATATATTTCTATTTCTATACACATTTATACGCATTACGCAATTAGGAATCAATCTGTTCTGTTGTTTGTTTTTTTTCTATTAAAAATAAACAGATTACTATTATTCCTGGTTAAATTTTTTTATATACATGTTGGTAGGTTTCAATGAACAAAAATAAAACGGACGATAAATAATGTTTGTTTTTTGTTTCTGACAACAGAAATTCATTGTTATTGATAAGTGCGGGGGGGGGGGGTGAAAATAGGTCCTCCATTTTTTGTTTACCGATTATTATTATTATTGCCTTTACACAATTTTTTAATTTCTGTTTTTAGAGATATGCATGTACATGTAATTATTATTAGTACCTTCCACACTTTTTTCTCTATATTGTCTGTGACATGAAAAAAAAATAGAATTCTTATTGATCGGAAAAAAATTTAATAAACTACATGAATTAAAATGTCAAATTGTTTATTTTATTTTGTATTTTTGTTGTTGGGGCACAGTTTTGGAGGTTTGCGTTTTTACACATTTGAAATCATTAATCAATCATCATTGTTAGACCACCATTAGAAACTTGGAAGCACTGGACGGCCGTTTCGTCCATTAGACATTAACACCGTTGGATGCCGGCCCAGTGGTCCGATGGTAAGGCGTTCGCCTACAATGCCAAAGGTCCCGGGTTCGATTCCTGCGAGGAGCAGGAGTCGTGGATGCGCACTGCTGAGGAGTCCCATACTAGGACGAAACGGCCGTCCGGTGCTTCCAGGTTTCTAATGGTGGTCTAACAATGATGATTGATTAATGATTTTTATTGTTGTTGAGATGGTGTGGAGAAGATTTGTAGCTCAGGTGGATGATGATTGTAGTGATGGTGTTTGGTTCTCTGAGCTGGATGTTGTTTTGGTGGTTGTGAAGCTTTCATTGTTCTTCTGTCGGAATAAACATCATCATCAGCATAAACTTCAGATATATAGCAGAAGTGAAGCATTCGAATATTACTCCACATTTGATCTGTAGGCTTGTTCTGCTAACTTCCTCGATCTTGATTGGTTGTTGTTGATCTTACACATGTCGTTGTTTGCACCTTCATTTTGATTGGATCTCCCTTTTGATCTGTTTATTGATCCTATGTCACCTATGATTTTCCTGACATTGACCCACTTTGTCAACCAATCAGAAAAATCATAGGTGACATATTGTGGTGCGCGCTACTTATAAGTAGTATATGACACGAGTGTAAACGTAATTTGTGACAGCAGAAGAATGGGGGAAGATCAAGAAAGGAAGAGTGGGAACACAATGGGATTTGTATGAAATGCATGAATAGTGAAATGTCAGACAATGGATTGATGATGGATTGAAGATATGCAAATTAACGTTTACGATATGGTTTTCCTATTTTACTGAGTAACTCTGTAATTTTCGTTAAATACAATTCGGTTGCCCTCACCTGTGTTCTCCTTCACTACATTTGGTGTCACTGCCTACACAAAGGATGAAGATTCCATGGCCGAAGGAGTTTGAGGACGGAGATGTGCGGAGCTTCCTGAAGGAGTTTGAGGCCGTGGCAGAGCTGGTGGGGCTGAAGGAGCCAAGGTCGAAGTTGGTGGTGCTGGGGACGCTGCTGAGAGTTAGGGCAAAGGCCGTATATGACATCTTGGACGGTGCTGGTGGGGAGACGACGTGGGAGACGGTGACGGAGCGAATAGTGACGGAGTTCGTCAGCCAAGTGGACAGGGAGGAGGCGCTGCAGGTGTTCCGGTTGGTGAGGCTGTCGGCTGGTCGTGACCCGCTGGTGCTTGCTGTGGAGCTCACCAGATTGTTGCGCCATGCTCTGCCAAATAACCATGAGAAGTCGGAGGCACAGTTGTTGGCGTCGCAATTTATCGAGAGTGTGCCTGCCGCCGTGTCCCAGCAGCGGGAACTAGTAAACGCTACACGTTGGATAGATGCCGTATCCATTCCAGACCAGCGGGCAAGAACAATGACCGAAGTGGTAATCCGGCATATTGTAGCGTGTCACGGAATACGGAAGGTGATATTAACTGACCAGGGTCCCTGTTTTGGAAGTGACGAGTTTAAAGCCCGTCTAAAGCAGTTTGGCGTCAAGAAGATACGAACTACACCGTATCATCCGCAGATAAACGGGCTTACAGAGAGAAACAGCCGGACTACAATAGGATCAAGAAACAGATCAAAAGAGGGATGCAATCAAAACAAAGGTGCAAACAACGATAGGTTTAAGGTCAACAGCAAGTAATCAAGATCGAAGTTAGCAGAACAAGTAGTTACAGGTCAAATGTGGAGAAATTCGAATGTTTCACTTCTGCTATCTGAAGTTTGTGCTGATGATGATGTTTATTCAGACAGAAGAACAATGAAAGCTTCACAACCAACCAAAACACCTAGCTCAGAGAACCAAACACCACCACCGCCACAATTGTTGTGGTTGTTTATTTAAGAAAAAAGTAGTTGATTGAAAAAGCTAATTGTTAGTTAAGCAGTTTTGTAAGAAAAGTGTAACATGAGTAAGTTGTGTGAATTTGTCTAATGACACAATACTGTTGGGGGGGGGGGTTAGATCCTCAGAACTTACTTGATAAAGGTTCTAATTCTGGATGTTTTATGTTTTCGCGCATGGGCTTATCAGATGACGTTGAGACTATATTTCCCATTCGGAAAATCCTTGACTGTTATTGGTTGATGGATTATTTTAGTACGCTATTTTTGTGGCTCTCTCAAGGACGTTTCTATCATGTATAAATAAACTCAATTTGTGTGCTTTGAAGCCTCATATTACCTGAGCGCTTGTAGAATACACTTACTACGCTATACCAAGACTTCTCTGGGACTCTCGGATTAGAGTAGCCTATTTTCTCACCGCATCATTTGTCTTCTCTCTGGTTTACCGTCTAAGCTGAACTGGTAACAGTTCAACCATATCATTGACGAGCATAACAAATATTGTTGAATAAAGGTTATAAAAACATAATTTTATCAAATTTAGGGTATATCATCTGTATAATTCTCCAACTACTCTTCGTTTATGATAATACATTTGTACTATTGTGGTGCGCGCTACTTATAAGTAGTATATGACGTGAGTGTAAACGTAATGTCTGGCAGCAGAAGATGGGAGAAGATCAAGAGAAAGGAAGAAGAGTGGGAACACAATGGAATTTGTATGAAACGCATGAACAACAGTGAAATGTCAGACAATGGATTGAAGATTTGCAAATTAACGGTTACGATATGGTTTTCCTATTTTACTGAGTAACTCTGTAATTTGAAAAGAAAGTTTTTTCAACCCTAATTCTCTACAGATGCTTTCCTAAACTCTGATTTATTGTTATTGATCAGAATAGCAAAATAGATCAATGGTTGTTCTGGCCTTAACATCATTCCTTCTAGTCTTTTTGATTAATGATTGAAATGGTTGATTTATTGGCAAAGAAACAACTCGAGAAAATTTTTTAATGAAAACCAATGGAAATATAAAATGTTAAATTCAGATCACAAAGTACAGATAATTTTGGCTCAAGGTTTATTTAGGCGTGTATGATGAGTACCATTGGTCTGTAGTAAAAGGTTTGACACCATATCTGTTAAGATTTTCAATGTTTGATTAAAAACATGTTATTACACTTAACCAGTTAATTGTAAAGCTGTTTACATGGCTCAGATTTTTTATAGTCAGTAGCTTCATCAATTCATATTATATCTATATTTGCATATCCTAACCCTTTTTTCCTGATCCAATCTTACATCAGTCTACATCTCGTGCACGAGCAAGTGTCAGTTAGGGATGGATTGTACACGTTCTTATCACTTTAGCTGAAGCATATTCATGGTTTCATGGATGGATTTGTAGTTTTCATTCGGTTGAAAAAAATCATATGTACAGGGTATGTCTTGGGAACGTTACATCCCTAGAACTCACTTGATGAATGTCCTAGTTTTTAACTTTATGCTTTCGAGCATGGACTAATCAGTTAACGTTAAGATTACATTTCCCAGTCGGAAAGTTCTTGACCGTTATTGGTTGATGTATTATTTTAGTACGCTATTTTTGTGGCTCTCCTAAGGACGTTCCTATGATGTGTAGATAAACTCGATTTGTGTGCTTGTTAGCCCTATATTTTCTAGGTGCTTGTAGAATACACTTACTA